TTTCTGCCTTCAGTTTATCTATTTCTTCTACATACCTAGAACCTTTCTCCCTTGATTTTTAAAACGCCTTTCAGCTTGTGTCTCTGGTCTCCTTTCATATTCCAAATCACACATTTAGTTTGAAAGACATCTTTTGAGCTCTAAAGTGCCTTTTTAAGCAGGGTCAGCTGCAGCAGGTTGTCCAGGCCCTGGACAACTATGACATTCCATGCCTAGACAGGTTTGGAATATGTCCCTGTATGGACACTTCACAGCCTCTCTGAGCAACCTCTTCCAGTGATTGACTACCCTCACTTTGGGAAAAAAAAAAAAAAAAAAAAAAAAAAGCACATTCTTGTGTTCAGGTGGAATTTCATGTATTTCAGTTTGTTTCCATTGACTCTTGTTCTGTTGGTGGGCACCACTGGAAAAAGCCTGGCTCCGTCTTCTTTGTTTCCTCCCATCAGGTATTTCTATCCACTGATTAATCCCTCCCTCTCCTTCTGGACTCCAGACTGAACAGTTAAAGCTCTCTCAGCCTCTCCTAACAGGGATACTGGATACTCCAGTCCCTTAATCATCTTTGTGGCCCTTTGTTGCACACTGTCCAGCACGTCCACATCTCTCTCATACTGGGAAGCCCAGGAATGAAGAAATAATCCAGGTCTGGCTTCTCTAATGCTGACTAGAGGGGAAAGACCACATCGCTCCGCCTGCAGGCAACACTCCTGATGTGCAGCCCATCAGGCTGTTCGTCTTTGCCAACAGGAGATTTTGTTGACTCATTTTCTGCCACCTCCTTTCCAGCTGGGTATCCCCAGCTGTCTTAGTGCATCTTCCCCAGATGCAGGACTTGTTGAACTTCATAAGGTTCCTGCCTGCCTGCCTCCTCACACAACCATCGAGTGCACAGCCACTCCTGCTAACCTTTCTGTCATTGGAGGCCACACTCTGTCCAAGCATCCAGATTATTAATGGAGATTTATAAGGGTTCTGATGGACTTTTAGGGATCACCACTAGCTACCATCTGTCAACTAGATGTCACTCAGAATCCTCTGAGCTTGGATGTTCAGTTGATTTTCAATCCACCTCACTGTCTGCTCATCCAGCCTATACTTCATCACGTCCCTGAGACTTTTATGGAGACTCTCAGCTGCCTTACCCATGTAAAAGGGAAACAAATCCACTGCTCTGTCCTCATCTACCAAGCCAGCAATATTGTCCTAGACAGACATCATGTTGATTATGCAATTTCCCCTTTGTAAATCCATGCTAACTATTCTGAGTCACCTTCTTGTCCTTGTGTGGAAGTAATTTTCAGGATTTTTCTCCTGTCCACTTGCCAGAGCTTGATGTGAGGCTGACTGGTCTGTAGTTCTTATTGTAGTTAATTTTATCTCTTGCCCTTCTCAAAGTTAGGAGTGACATGACCAGAGTGGCCTCACAATGATACCAGCTTTCAATATTTGTGGGTGCAAGCCATGAGGCCCTATGGATTTATATATGTACATTTGTTTAAGTGCTACCTAACTTGGTCTTCCTCACTCCAGACTTTCCCTTTTAAATGTTCTGCTAGGATTTTGCAGGGAAAAATCTCTCTTTCTGTGAACTATATTCAGAGCATTCCCTTCTTTCTGTATGGATCCAGGTACTACTATGGCTGCATGCCCTCTTTCTGCTTCATGGACAATAAAACACATTGAAACATTTTGATTGCCCTGTTATTTTTTATTAATTTGGTTGGCATGGTGAGATTCATGTGCTGAGTCTTAACTAGTTAGATGTGGAAAAATAACTAATCTCCTTTGCTAGATGATTCACTGGGGTGATAAAATTGCAGAGACTAGGAAAACAGATGTGTGATTCTTTCCCTGGACTAGCAGTGGAGTGATTCCTCTATTGCAGTCTGAGTATGATGTTATTTTACCCAGCAGGGAAATATTTCAGATAGCCGCTTTTGAACAGATTATGCTTGAGTATTCAAGAAAAGCACAATAAATTGCATTCTTTTTTTTTTTTTTTTTTTTTTTTTTTTTTGTTCTTGACCAGGGTTTGAATTGAGTTATATTCCTCCTACAGTGCATTGGAGGCAGTGAAATGCTGTGCGACACAGAAGTGTTACATCCACAAAAGTTGTGGAAACATGTCTGTTCTCAGTGTTGAGTGGGAAATTCCTGGAAGAAGTGTATCTCTTAAATGCAGGTCCTCTGGGGCAGGCTTTGGAGTGAGCATGCTGCTGGTTTTGAATGAGGTTAGGAAGAACAAAGAAACAATTTCTGAGTTAAGGGAAGTGTGATAACTGCAGTTGCATCTGTACATTGAAAAAAAATGCATGAAGTATGTAGCCTGGGGCCCTTTGAGGTGGCCAGTGCTATTTAGATAATCCCTCTGTGTCTTCTGTGTAACAGCTAAGTGTATCTGCTTTTTCTGGTAGATTTTGCAAACCCTTAAACAAAGAGACCCCCAAACATTAAGTTTTTGAAACTAAGTCTACAGAATTGTTTTATTCCATTCAGCACTTACCATTTTCTCGCTGGCTTCTTTGTGCATGATGAACTTTGCAAAAATCAGGGAACGAGCATGGTCATCCTGAGAAAATGACTGATGTCTCTAGAAGAGGATGTCTAAGAGCATGTAATTAACTGGTTAAGGGAAAGTACATGAAGAAAGTGCAGAGCATAGCAATAAAAATACACCAATACTCTGTGTAGTATAACCACAAATAAACAGTAACTCAGACTATAAAAGGCATTTTGCAGTTCTCAGGCAGTGTCCTGAGATAACCCAAGTCTTCTCCTCCTGGTTGTGTAAGACCTTTGCCTTGTCTGTCTCAGAGAAATCTGTGTGATAGATTTGTTGTTCACAGATGAAATCAATGATGATTTTTTGTCATTTTGCAAAAACTATGCTTCACTGTGAAGAACTTATTACTTCCTTGATCTCAAGCTTAGGGGACATTTGAATAGTTAAGGAGAATACCTTAGTATTCCTCTATTGCTAAAGCTATTGCTTAAATTGCTGTTTGTGAAAAGACCCATAAAGGTCTATGGAAGGCTGGCAGTTTGTGTTGGTTATCATATGTGCTAGGCTTGGTGACTCCAAAATTATTGCATGAGTGGTTTTTTTGTGGGTATTGGGGTATTGTAGTTTATTTGTTTCTGAATTCTGGTGGTTTATGGATCCTAGAAATGTGGTTACTACTTTGACTCCTTCTGTGTTTTATTTCTGCATTTCACATGGCATCTTATGGGTGCATGCCTGGTGGATTATCCCCCCTTTTTGGGAGCTGATCAGAATCTCTCATAAATGTTGTGGGTTGCACCTTCCCACAGACAGCACAGGGAGACAGGGCGTGGGGGTTTTGGTCAGTTCATCACTGAGATTTTATTCTGCTGCTCGGGGAAAGGAGTCCTTCCCCTGTGAGGCCGTGGGGTCCCTCCCACAGGAGACAGCTCTCCATGAACTTCTCCAGCGTGGGTGCACTCCCACGAGCAGCAGCCAAACCGTACCTGCTGCACCCTGAGTCCCTCCCACAGGCACACAGTCCTCCCAAAACTGCTGCGGCATGGGTCTCTTTCCACGGGGTGCAGTCCTACAAAGACAGGCTGCTCCAGCCTGGAGCAGGGGCCTGCTCTCTCCACCAGGTATCCCCCTAGATCACAGCCCCACCAGGCATCCACCCGCTCCGATGCAGAGCAATCTCAGCTCCAGCGCCTGGAGCAGCTCCTCCTCCTATTTCTCCACTGACCTTGGTGTTGCCATGTTGTTTCCCTCACATGTTCTCACCTCCTTCTCTGACTAGGAGCAAAAAACCTGTGACTCTGTTTGGATTTTCTTCTTCAGTATGTCATCACAAAGTCATTACCAACTTCTCTCATTGGCCCAGGTTTGGCCAGCAGCATGTCCATTTTCAGAGCCATCAGGGATTGGCTCTGCTGGACATGGTGGGAAGCTTCCAGCAGCTTCCCACAGGAGACATCTTTGTGGGTTTTTACTGCCAAAAACCAGACCATGCCAAACCAATACAGGTACAAAAACGCATGGGTTCAGATAAGAACAGTTAAGTAGATGAAAATAAGTAAAGGGTTATAATAATAATTATGATAATAATAATAAAAAAAAATTAAAAGCCCAAGAAAAACAAGTGATGCACAATCCAACTGCTTACCACCTGCTGATCAATGCTCAGCCTTTCCCTGATAAGTGATTAGGCTTTTCCAGTCAACTCCCCCAGTTTGTGTACTCACCTTGGTATGGAATATCCCTTTGGTCAGTGTAGGTCAGTTGTCCTGGCTGTGCTCCCTCCCAGCTTCTTGTGCAGCTCCTCATTCACAGAGCATGAGACACTTGAAAGTCCTTGACTTAGGGTAAGCACTACTTAGCAACAACCAAAACATCAGTGTGTTATCAATGCTATTCTCATGCTGAATCCAAACCAGAGCACTGTATCACTTACTGAGCAGAAAATTATCTCTATCCTAGCCAAAACTAGGACACTGGAGGCATTGGATCTAAATCTTAAATCTTTTTAGAACAATAGAAAGTACTTTTCTGATTATGAAGATGGAGATCAGGAAGAACTTTTATTCATGAATGTGGTATAAGAAAAGTTTTTGTCTGGATGTTTTGTGTCGAGACATTTGATTTGGCACTTCTGAAAAGTCCTGCTCGTAACAGAAAGGAGATGCAAAACTCCTCCTGCATGGGAGCAGCCCTGGGTTTTGATTCATTGAAGAATGTGTTTATTTACAAAGATGCAGCATTCCAAGGATATTTCTAAAGACCACAAAGATTGTGTCCAGTGGTCTAAGTATCTTTTTCATTTGCTTTCAATAACTCTGTCTTAAAGTTGAGTTTACTTTTTTGCTAGTTCTGATCGAAGCATTTTCATGATAAACTAATTTAATTTCATTTCTGTCTGCCAATTCAAATAACTAAAAATATTGCTGATAGGTGTATGATTTTTTAACTTTCTTTTTTGTTTTTTTGTTTTTTTTTTTCCTTTTTGCCTCTCCAACAGGCCATCTGTGGAAAAGAAGAAAGAGAAAAAAATGAAGCACTTGTTTTTAATATTTCTCATGAATTTATTACACCAGCATGCTGGGAAATCTTTGAGAAGAGATGGAAGTTCCCTGAAGTCATTTGAAGACATTAAAAATGAGATAGCTGGCTATACTGATATTGCTAAGGCTATTATTGATCTTGCTGTTCATGGAAAGGCTCAGAACAGATCCTATGATAGATTAGCAGTTTTTGCTGACACCATAGGACCTAGACTCAGTGGTTCAAAAAACTTAGAGGCAGCCATCAAATATATGTTCACTGCCCTGCAGAAAGATGGGCTGGAAAATGTGCATCTAGAGCCTGTGAAAGTACCACACTGGGAAAGAGGAGAAGAGTTTGCAGTGATGCTGGAACCAAGGAATCATAGCATTGCTATTTTGGGACTTGGGAACAGTATTGCCACTCCTCCAGAAGGTAACTCTTCCTTTTGGAATTACATGTGACTTGCTTTATAGCACAAACTGTATTGTACCCCTAATAACTTCTCTCAGTGGTCAAACTGTGGTTTTCTTCTTGCTGTAGTAGTTCTGCAAAACAAGGTGCTATTTTCCTGGGACTTTTCTATATAGTGTGGTTGTGACTGGTGCAGTTATATTAATACAGTTTGGTTGAAAGGACTTATAAAATTAGAGGTGATTCCTGACCTTTCCATTAAATTTATACTCTTTTTTTTTTTAACACTGATGAACGTCATTTGCAAAGATTCTGGTTGGTAGGAAAGAAGTTCTCCATGGGGTGTCAAATTGACACATGATTTCTCCTTCTCTTCATGTGCCCTATTTTGCCAGGCTCCACCCTTCACTCCAGTAAAAAACAGGGCAGCAGGAAAAGGAGGTGAGCTTGAAGAGTTCAAGCCCCTCACCAAACATAGCAGTTGGTATCTGTGTGCCCTTCCCTTCCCTTCCCTTCCCTTCCCTTCCCTTCCCTTCCCTTCCCTTCCCATTGTTTACATGCTCACTTTGTCACTTACTTGTCACTGAACTGTGTGTTGCCTTTTAGATGATCACGTGTGATATGTTACTCAGGAGAAAGAATAACCATTAGCTGCGCTTAACAAGATTCTGGTCTTTTAAACACCAAAATATTAGATTGCCTACAAACAAAATGATTTATAAGATTCTTTATTTGTACTTACTGATGTGAGACTTTGAGGATTGTTATTTAAAAGCCAGATGAGAACCTTCTTCTGTGACTACTCTCCATAAAAAACAATATACTTATTCCTAGACCACTTCAAAAGCATTTGTATTCCTTTATGAGAAAATAAATTTAGTTTAGGAAATAAAAGGTAACATGATACTCATAATTTTTTTATAAATTGTAAATTTTTGTGATAGCAAGCTTTCTCTTTGAAATGAAACAACATATAAAATTGTTATGTTTAGAAAAAAATATATAGCTCGTCAAAATGCAACAAATAAAACTGGGTAATTTAAGATATGCTTGGAATAAATTATACTTGGTTTGAAAAATTGCTGCTGTGAATTTTATCTGAGATAGTTCTGTCATATTGAGGTAAACGCATACCTAAAATGCAAAGCAACTAGAACCATTACTACCTGTTTGTCCCATGATATGTGCAAGGTTTAGTGCTTTGATAAGAGAAAATTTAGAGCAAATTTTAAGCCTACAACTTATTTTGTATTCTTTCCAGTCCTATTCCAAGCTTCCTAAAAAGTAAGCAAAAATTAAAAGGTCTTTTTTGGTGTTTAGCAAGTGTTGCTGAACCTGAAAAGAGAAGCTGCAATTTAATTTTGGCAAACATCTTCACATCCAGAAAAGTCTGTTTTTCACTTCTCTTTCTTACTTGTGTAGTTATTTGCACTTGCCTGGTTTTACTCCTAGGTATGCCTTTTTTTTTTTTTTTTTTTTTTTTTTTTAGTGATATACTGAATTTACATGTTAAAAATACTCAGCCTAATTATGTCCTTCTTTTTCATCTTTAAAGATCCTATATCTTGAAAGCTGTGATTGTATTATCCAGTGCTGGTTCAAAACCCCCACATTATTCTTTCTCACAATTTCACTTTCCTCTGAGATCTGCCGTGTTTCTGAAGAAGTATATGTGTTGGTGCTAGAAGGCTTTATGGCAATGAGATCTCTCACAAAACAGTGGGTCATTTCTCATACTTCATGGAATAATTTTGATTCAATTACTTACCTTCTGACTCTCCTACTGTTTGTGCCTGTTCTGATTTCTGCTGGTCTCATCTCTCTCTGTGTGAACAGGGACAGGTTTTTGTGCTTGGGAAGGTTATGTGGGGTGGCTGGTCCCTGGTGAGCACTTGGCTCTTGTTCTTCTGATCTCTGGACCATCCTCCTGGCTGACGGAAATGTCTCGTAAGAGCTGCTCATCACCAGCCTCTGCAGGCAAGAGAATCAATGTTGGGAAAAGTGCTTGTTCTAAAATTCTCACTCATACCAAGCATGAAATAAAAAAATGTGTTTATTATTATTAAAACCACTGCGTTATCACTTCTGAGGATTGCCACAGTGCCTTATTCCTAAGAAAAAGGAATAGAAGGCTGCCCTAAATGGCATCAGAAATAGTTGAACAATTCCCCTCATTGAGGGATTATCAGCAGTTCTGATACATCTTGTTCTAGGCACGAAGTTTTGGGGGTATGACTCTTCCTGTAATCAAAATAATGCGACTCAATATGAGATGCCTGATGCCAGTTATCCTGTTACAGTACTGTTGTTACATGGGATCAAACTAGGGAGATCTACTGCTCCTGTGCTGAGCTTTGGCAGAGGGATGTTTTAAAGGCTGAAGGTCCTTCAGATGCTGGCTCTATGATGATTCTTTGCCTCTAAAGTGGACTGTGCAGATGACTCCTGAAGTTGTTTGCTGTTAGCTTGATAGTTACTACGTGTTTAAAGCCAGTGTTCCTGTCAGGATATATTTCAGACCCCTCCATTTACAAACCACTGTCTCAGTACAGCCCAAACAGATCCCTTCCTTGACACTACTGATGCCTGTTACAGACAGAGCTGGACTTCTTGTCTTTTAAGGTCTAGGAATGGGGTTAAGATGAGAGTGGCTGACTCCTCCATCCCAGCAGAAGGTACAGGAGACCATTTCTTGCTTTTTCATCTTTTCAGTTTTGTCCTGTATTCTTCTCTTCCCATGATTTGTCCCCAGGCTTGTGACCTGAGAAGCTAAGAAAATAGGAGACGTTGGCGGAAGTTTAAAACTTGGTGCTGGACTTGGTGCCCTTTGGTTCTCTCAGAGCCTCTCCTGAAGCTCAGAACCCCAAGCAAGTGCTTAGGAGGGCTCTTCATTATCTTGGCAATAGCCTAGCAGCAATTAGAAACCTAATTAGAAACCTGCCCTGGGGTGACTTTATGATGCTTGTATCCCCAGTTGTCTGTTCTGTTTATGCTGGATATTTAAGACTGGTTCTGAGAGCGAAAAGGGGGAAAAAGAGCACACAGTTTGTTCTCAGAAACTGCACTCACTCCTCTGCATTCCTGCTCCTGGACAGTGTCGTCTGCAGCATGGACAGACAGCACGAGAGCTCTTCTTTGCTTTTTATTTAGTTTTTTTTTTAGGTAGCTGAGGTAGAGAAGTTCCCTGGACTGTGTTTTTTCTTTTTCTTGAAACTGTTCAAACCTGCTCTGGACTGAAAACCCAGAAAAATGCTGGGAGCTCACACCTGTGGCCCATCAGGGGCCAGGACACAGCATTCTCCAGTGCAGGAGAGACTGGTAAGAGACTGAGTGAGCTGAGTCACACTCCACAACAAGGACTTTCTGAATTTGCCATCTCTTCAGAATAGCGAGAGGTTTTATTGTTTAATATTATACATTTATTTTTTTTATGCTTGTGAATACTTTGCCTGTTAAATAAACAGTATCTTCCACTTTTCTCCAAGGAAATATTTTCCTGAACCGGTTGGTGGAGGGGCCACTTGAATTTGCTTTCTAGAGGGACCCCATTCAGAGGTTTCCTCCCAAATTTGCCCTAAACCAGGACACCTGGCTTTGGATGTTGGAAATTCAGGGTTTAATTTCCCTCTGTCCATGGAAATTCAAACCAGTGTTTCCGAAGAGTTACCCAATGGCTAGAGCACATGCTGAGGTTGGTTACTTTCCATTTCAGCATACACCATGCGAGTGTAGAAAAAATCCGCAATCCTTCAGGGCAGGAACAAGAAGCCCTAAATAGTAGCAGTATTTTTAGCTATGAAGTCCAAGCCAGTCCATTGACTCCAGGATACCAGGAGTGTCTCTTCCTGCAGAGAATGTCTTCTAACTCGTGCCTATGGCATTGAAACCCTATTGGGATGTGCAGAGAGCTTTTCTCATTTATTTGATTTTATGAGATTTGCCCACTTTGGCTCAGATACAGAACAGTTGGATGATGTGCAGGAGGCTTTTCAGTACCTTGTGATCTTGTGGATAAAATCCTGCTTTCTTCTTCATGACTGGGAAATATGCCAAGATGTCAAGTTCCCAGATTCCATCTGATTTTCACAGCAAAAAAGGAGAGTACAGAAAAGGTTAGATTTTTCTATTGAAGAGGAAAAACCTCCAACATTCTCCCTCCCCAAGTGTATTCCAGGATATGAAGGTGTTCGGTCAAAGAGAAAGTTTTCACTTCCTTTGATCTCTTTACAAGGAGGGAGTAACTTCACTGCCCGCTTTAGTGCCAGGGAAACAGAGTGACCTGGATTTCCAGAAATCAGCAGGGGCTCTTAATAGTCATCACCTTGAAGAAATGGATTCCTAGGTAGCAAACAGGATTGAATGATAGAAAGTGCTCAGTTTTGGGAGCTGGAAAACTGGAGATTTACCATATTTAGTCAATGTCCTTGTCTCATTTTCAGTGTTTCAACATTGGCAAAACATGGAGATATATATAGAGAGAGACTGTGTTGATTTCTGGTGGTACTGATTATATCCCCCAAATATAATTGTTGCTTTGAGAATCTCGTAATTGAAGGAAAGTGGTAGTTTAGCAGATGTTTGACCATAGAGTATCAAAGAGTTCATTTTTTTGCATGTGTTCTAAAATGCATTTTTTTTACTCTGATGAGTGACCATGCCCTTTAATTTTAAAGAAATACTGACAAGCAGAACCGACTTCACGGCAGCCTGCCCTGAAATGTCTCCTCAAAAAAAAAAGGAACACTCTGTTTTTTTATGTACTGTTGGTTGCAGCAAAACTGAAATAATATAAATATGAAAATGATGCACTGGCAGACTTTTTCCTAGTTTTTGTGTTCAAGTCATGGTCTTTTCTTTGTTTAATTGTCAATATTTGGTCCAGCTGCACTCTTATGGAAGGTGATAGGAGCTTTGCAATTAGATAACATGAAAGTAGTTCCAGCCTGTTATGTATAAAATGAGCATAATGAGTGTTGCCTTGAAGTTGTTGGTGTGGGCTGTTGCTGTTGGTCCACCATTTT